GTGTTCCCCAGAATATTGTGCACTCTAATGAGCTTATCTGGGGTCAGAAAACAGAATAGCCACTATACAGACACAGAGGCCAGAAAGTGGTGGCACTCACACCTTTAATCCTATCACTTGGGAGGTAGAGATCCATCCGGATCTCTGAGTTTAAAGCCACACTGGAAACAGCCAGGCATGGTGACTCACGCCTTTGATCCCAGGAAGTGATGGCAGAAAGCAGAAATGTATATGAGGTGTGAAAACCAGGAACTAAGCTGGTTAAGCTTCTAGGTTTTGAGTAGCACAGTTCAGCTGAGATTCACTCTGGATGAGGACACAGAGGTTTCCAGTCTGAGGAAACAGGATCAGCTGAGAAACTGGCAAGGTGAGGTAGCTATGGCTTGTTCTGCTTCTCTGATCTTCCAGCATTCACCCTAATACCTTGCCCAGGTTTGATCTTATTAATAAGAACATTTTAAGATTCATGCTACAAATAGCCACCACAATAGACTAGAGAGGGTCCCCAGAGGCTAAAAGTAGAGTTAGGATTTGGTAGGGCTTTTTGTAGTTAGATCACTTATTTTTTCCTGCATAGCATAGCACTGTACACCAAAAATAATGAGGTAAGAAATCAGAAGAGTGCAGAGAGAGAGCCCCCTGATTAGTTCTTACAAGAGTTGTGATATGCATGATTCCTGACTCCCCCTGGCCTCCTGTTTTATCTTGTGATTTCTCCCTCTCCTATGTCTCCTTCCATGATGTCAGCTGCCATAATGAGAAGCAGGCAGCAGAGGCTGCTCCAAAGCCAGTATCATGATGGTTGGAATGCCAGCCTCCAAAACTACAAGCAGCAAACCTTTTCTTTTAAGGAGGTATCAGCCTCAAGTATTCTACTACAGTAACATAGTAACAGAAAATAGAATCTTTTAAGTGGGCCAGCTGGAAAATGCAGGCTCTGTTTTAAGTAAATTTGTTGCAACTTTGTGGGTTTGGTCCCAGGTTTTGGCACCAAAATGTGAGTTTTATAACTCTGAGGAAAGGTATCCTGACTACCTCGGAAGTCAGGCAACACCTTGAGCTGCATAGGACAACTCTGAATGCTGGAGCTGCAAAGAGACAGCTCAACCCTAAAAGGGAAGTTTTTCTGACTGCTGGGGAGAGTCAGGCCTGGAACTGCTTCAGCAGGGAAGGGTATCCTGACGGTTTGGGAAATTCAGACCTGGAACTGCTTTAGCAGAGAAGGGTATCCTGACTGTTCAGAAGAGTCAGGCTATACCTGGTGTGATGGGGGTGGTCTTCCCTCAGGATATAGCAATCCTGCTCCTCTCCTGGAGAGCCGTTACAGCTGGGCTTGCTCAGCCCCCTCTTAAGGGGGCTTCCTAGCAGAACTCGGCTTCTCTGGCCTAAGATGTTGTTTCTTTTGCTTCGTTCTGCAAAAGAAGAAAGCCTTCCAGAAATGTAGCGATTTCCTCTGGCTCCAGAGAAGAGTGTTACTTTTCAACTCTCTTGCTCTGTCCACTGAGGGATGTCTCAGCAAGGATCTTCTCTACGCCAGTGAATGAAGATCTTCACACCCAAAACTCTTTATAGAAAGAGATTTATTTGGGAAGGAGTAGTCCAGGAGAGTAGCTGCCTCTACCAGGGTGAAGAAAACAGCTCACAACTGACCAGCTCACAATTGACTAGGCAGGATGATATATATAGGATGTCTTGGGGCAGAGTCAACCAGAAGTTAACTCGGGGCTCAGGGTTCTACTGTCCTGATCTGTGATCTGAGCCAGTGTTTTTTTCACTGGCCTTACTTAGCTTTTTTTTGACACTAATTCCAAGGCCAGGGCACATTTCTTTCACTGACCCTGATTCTAGAGACCAGGAGTGTTTGCTTGGCACTAGTTTCAGAGTCAGGGCATGTTTCCTGGGTTCTGAGTTGGGGGATAAAGTGTTCATTTCTCCCAAACCCAGGTTGTATTTCTTTCCCTGGTCCTGGGCCCCAGGGCCAGGGTGCTACTGTTCTGACTGGTTGATTTCACAAGTCAGTTGGCCAGGGCCAGAGATGACTCTGATTTGAGCCAAACTGTGTTTCTTTCACTGGACTTATCTGAGCCATCTTCCCCTAGTTCTGGGCTCCAGGGTCAGGGTGGGTTTCTTTAGCCAGCCCCTTTTCCCTACATCTGTAGGAACACAAGCTTAGTTAGCTGGAACCCAAGTGTAATGATAGGAGGACGCTGCATAATTCCTAACCAGAGGCTCCTGCCTGGAAAAACAAGTAGATATCAATGGCATTCTACACTCTACACATCAGCCAGTAAAAAACTCGGGGATACTTACACATCTATGTTGATTGCTGCTCTGTTCACAACAGCAAGAAGGGAACCAGTCTGGATGTACATCAACAGACGAATGGATAATGAAAATTGGTACTTATACACAGCAGAATTTTATTCAACTTAAGGAAAATTGGAATTTGCAGGAAAAATAGATGGATCTGAAAAGTATATTATGCAAGATAACCCAGAAGCATAAAAATAAAACCTACCAATGTTCTTTTTTATCTGTGGATCATAGATTGTATACATGTGTGTAGTGATGGGTGAAAATATGGGTAAAGCCTAAAAATCTAGATAGGGGAGACCATGAGAGAATAAAAAGAATTGCCAAAGGGGAGCAAAGGAATAGATGTGGCATTAAGAGGAAAAGAGACGAAGGGACTTACCAGAAGGGTTAGGGAGACCGGTGGAAATGGTGACGCCAGAGGAGAATCTACTAAAACACATTTTGTTCAAAATGCCATAATGACATCTAATACCTTGTATATTAATTTTTAAAAATTTAAAGAAAACTCTGAGTTAAAAAAAAAAATTAAGGCTGGTGAGACGGCTCAGAGGGCAAGGACACCTGCCACCAAGCCTGACAACCTATGTTTAATCCCCAAGATACCCGGGTGGAAGGAGAGAACTGATTTTGACAAGTTGTCTTCAGACCTCCTCACCTGTTATGGTATACTCACACCCACACATACACAAGGTTAGGAAATCTGCATAAAGATCCTCATTCCCCACTCTTTGGAGACATACTTACATGAGGCCTCCATGGCCCTAAACAAACTCTGGAGCGCCAGAGTTGCTGTCCCTAACACACACACACACACACACACACACACACACACACACACACACACACACACACATACAGCCTGAACAACTTCCTACACAGGCATCAGCTCCTCATTTCACAGGGTCTCTGAGCATCAGGTCAGCTTGTTATCCTTATAGCAGAAAATATTTTTGCACTCAAGTTTGTCTCTATAAATAGTTAAAAGTAGGTGAGAACGTATTCTGGCAATTGACTTACTGTTAGGAACTGTAAGAATTGTTGTGAATTCTTGAACCAGACTACCCAAACTTAATGCTGGAATCTAACCCAAACAATTTTTTTAGCTTCTTTTTATTCCAATTATTTATCACACATCTTCTAGGACTATGAAAAGAAGGAATTTAATCTTCATAATGTTACTGTAAAAGTACCTTGAACATGATAAGTCTTAGAGACTATGCAAAGAACGCACATTATCCAACAGAAGAGCTAACCCTCAGCACCTCAAGCTGTATTTAGAGACTAGGTTTTTAAAAGGGAAGTGGAAGCTAAGGCCCCTGGGGTGGATCCCAGTTATGAATGGTTTGCTTCCTAGGAGGAAGAGGACACAAGACACACACCAAGAATAGACCATGTGAATACAGAAATCTGTCTGTAGTCAAGGAGAGAGGCCCTCAGAAGGAACCTCACCATGGCAACCCCTTGATCCTAGACTTACAACCTTCAGAACTGAGGAATTAATTTTTGTAGTTTTGTAGCTCCTAGTCTGTGGTACTTCACGCAGGAAGAAAACTAATGGAGATGTACATATGAAACAATCAACACATTTAATGTATTTACCCCACTAGCCCCAGGACATCTGAATGTAAACCAAGAATAAACGTTTATCCAACACTGGAACACCAACTATGCCCCCAACACTGCATATTATTTATTTAGCATCTTACCTTTGTATGCAAGCCTAACTTTTTATCACAATTTTATTTGCTGTATGGCAATGGGCAGGCTGTGGCATGCACGGGAAAGTGGCTTTGAAGGAGTTGGTTCCTCCTTCACCTACGTCATGGCTCAAACTCGAGTCTTAGGCATAGCCAGAACCTTTCCCTAGTGAGCATGATGCCAGCCCCGACGTGCTTTCCTTGTCTGTTAGAACCACTCTTTTTCTAATCATTTTCTGTGGTGTTTGGTCATCACAGAAGATGGCTTCTCCTGATGGAAAGAAATGGTCCTTTCTCTGGGTGTGGAATGAGCAGAGCCTACTTTCAAGATGCATGTTGAGGTACCTGAAAAACTTTTGGAGTCATTTGTGGCTGGGCGAATCTCCTTCCTCATTCTGACTTAGGTGATCATTGTGTGAAGCTAGGGCAGGTTTTTTGTTTGTTTGTTTGTTTGTTTGTTTTTAACTTCCCAGTTAATTCTAACATGCAACCAGGGTTGAACACCATTACTCTAGTTTTAAGGGCCTTTTTAAAAAACATTTTTTTTCTCATTTTTTTTATTAGTTCTTTAAAGGGCCTCTAAGGTCACTTCAGTTGTAACTCAAAGTGTAGTCCGAATGTCACCAACAATTCATCACCTGGAAGTTTGTTACAGAGTCCCGGCTCTGCCTGACTACTAAATCAAAATCCACTGAGCAGGATGCTCCACATAATTCAAATTCACTACAAGATGCTAGAAACACTGAATTCCCACGAGAAGTATCTGGAAAACTCATTATAAAGAAGACTAGTTGGCCTCCTCCAGAGCCACACAAAATGCCAGAGGAAGGGCCTAAGAAGCAGGATTTCGTGTGTTCTTGTGTAATCAGTCAGGAGGCCTGAGGCCTGGGACCCACTAACCTAGGCCAGTGAATACCACTCCTCACTTCTGCTCAGCCTCTGTCTAATAACCCCTCCCGTTATAATTCTGCAATGTGAAACAAAACAGTAACACAAGAATTTTTATTATTATTTTTCCACCAAACATGCACACTTGCAAGTATTTATGCTGCTTAGTAACAGGGAAATAATCGCATTATTACCAGGGTATGAAATATCAACTACAACAACCAGTGAAAGATTAAGTTGGAGAGATTATTTTCACAGAATACAGCAACCCTAACAATCCATAAAAGTCTCTATGTAACACAGGAGAAAAGACTGATATTGTGAAGGGTATCTTACATCAGGATCTTAGCAGATTTACAGCAGAATGGCCTCTTCTTTTGTGGATGTGGGGGAGAGTAGAATATCCTCATCATCACTCCTTGAGTTTCATAATTATGAAGACTCATTTATAAGGCCCACTTCTGAGAAATCATTAATTTACACAAAATGATACACAGAAGTTGACTTGCTGTGATCATTAGAGTGTACCCCACAACTATCAACACCAGAGCCCCAATCTCCCAAAGTACATCTGACTGCATCGGCAACAGTACCTTGGACTTTTGATAAACAATGCAGGAGGAAGAGGCGCTACGGATGAAATTCAGTTGCTCGTGGCCGATGATGGTAGACGGCACATAGGGTCCAAGAACCACCTCCACTGCTCCTGTTTGTGTGAATTTACACAATGAAGAGCAAATATTATTTTAAAGCAAATTTGTACAGCTCTATTTCCCTCATTAGGTAAAACTACAAAAAATTATAAGATTTTACTTTGAGGCCAGATACACAGCATATAGCACAATCTTCCACACACAAAGCTGCACCTAGAACAGAAAACATCCAACACAGTAACATTGCTTTTGGTTTGTTTCTATGATTACAAAAAAAAAAAAAAAAAAATCCACCAATGATGATAAAGACTGTCCAGAACTCTGGATCCATCCTTGCCCAGGTATGTTTACCAACAACCCCTTTAATTCTCCCTTCCCAACCCTGAGTAAGGTCTCTCCTGTCACCTTCATCATTGAGCGATAGGATCACACTCTGTAGCTTCACAAGCCATTTCTGTCAAGTTTTTACTGATCCACTCAATACCAGGCTCATACCTATTCAATGTTCTCTTGCTGTGATTCCCCTGCCTATCATCCCCTTACCACTGAGTCAAGGACCCCCTCACAGAGGTTAGGATGAAGTCTTTCGTGGCCGGATGTGGGTCTGGAGAAAGACTGGTTCAGAGTTCTTCTTTCCAGGGAAGGCGAGTCAGGACACAGGCAAGCCTGGGCAGAGAGGGCCCAGCTCAGCCTGCACACTCACTAGAAACATCTAGAACAGGCCCTGCCTATGCCTGTCCCTAAGAACACCCTGGGATCCCCCCATGGTGAGTGTATTTGGGCTAAGAAGCAAGGGAAGCTGGGGTTGAGGACCCAGTTGCACAGGCTACCACCGGAGACAGAACGAAGCGCCTGGGTCTGTAAAGGAACACAGAAGACAAAACTAGAGTCCACAACACTGCTGCCTTAGTGGCGCCCTAGCAGATGTGCACAACTTTAGAACTACAGAATGAATACAGGAGTCAGGCCCAGGTCTAACCAGAGACCCTCTTGAGGCCTTCTGGTTTTTTGTTTTTTCTTTTTTTTCCCCCTATCTCAGCCTACTACATGCGTGTGCATAGGAAGCCCTATCTACCTCCCTAGCTGTATACAGAAAAGCCTGGATGATGAATTTCTTTGTCTGAGCTGATGCTATTTTAAAGGTAGGAGGCAAGGGGTGGGGGTGGGGGACAAGGAGGAGAGTAGGAAGGATGGGGTAGGTAGGCAGGGAAGTGGACTAGTTGCATGGAGGTGTGAAGCAAACGCAGGCATACAAATGAAAAATCCGTCTTCCTCAGCATCCCACTGAAGTACTCTTGTCCCATCTCAGCAAGGAACAAGGAGAGCTGACACAGATACCTAGTTGATAAGGCTGTGGGCCACAGCCTTACCCTCCTCAAGACTCACAATATGATAGCAACAAGCATATGTTCACAAATACCAGGCGGCCCACCAGGAGGGTTCCTAAAATCTGAAGAGGGTAGGTTTGTAGCTCATGCACTTCTGAGGATGCCTGGGTCCATAGGCGGGTTCTTGAGGTCTTTCATGAACAAGTCAATTGGAGCCAACAGTCAACAGACTGACTACAATCAGGCATGGCCAGACTTGGATGAAGGTTCACTAGTAGACTGGCCCAGAGGCAAGAAGAGATGTGAAGAACACAGAAGTTACTCCTGTTTGCCCTTGACCACATCCACACCCAGTAGTCTGCTGGGCCCTAGGCTGAAGCTGGAAACAAAACAGGAAGAACCTTGGTTGTTGTCCCCAGACCCACAGAACAATAAAATCTGGCGGATGGCCAATGCCATGTGCACTGGCTTCGTTTTGTGAAGGCAACAGAAAACCTTGCCATTGATAACATGCATGGCTAAAATGAAGAGGAAGCCCAGCTGACTGGCCACGAAGTAACATAGCTTGAGTATCCATCTGGACGATGACTCGGAATGTCCACCAGAAAGACAGGTGGGAAGGGCCAGAGCTAATAACAGGGACTGGATAGTGTAAAGCTGCATACATCTTAGTGCTTAATATGCAAGCAGTGAGAGTGAGATCACACAACATGTGTCACTACTGTGACAAGGTGAGGTCACGAGGAAGCAAAGAACATGATCACCAATTCCACATTCTTGAAGATCAGTCCAAAGCGGCTGCGGTGTACATAAGATGGCATCCACAGAAGGCAGACAACCAGACCCGCATGCAGCCTAACAGGTCCATCGGGAGGTAGTGGGGAGATCCATGCAGCATCAGTTGGACTGCTTCGCCCCAGGCCCAGCGGTCTCCACGGGCTGTTTTGCTGGGCCTGGCCTTTCTTCCTTGCCTTTCTCCCCATGGGCTTCTTCATTGACCAGGTAGTACTGCAGAGGATTGGGCCACAGGTCCTCGTTGATTATCTCAAGGATCTTGTCAGACTCAATAGAGCCGTGATTTGAAAACCACCCAAAGAAGCTACCATTATTTTCTGGGCTTTCCTTGCTTAGGGACTGTAGATCATGACCTGGGAGCCACTGGATTGGAGCTGAGCGAGACACCACTTGACCGGAGGGCCCACATCCATATTCCTTGACGAGCACCTTATTTTGGAAATAGGGGTTTGGGGCAAAGTAGAACTTGATTTTGTGGCCCAATCTAGCGAGGCCAAGCTCTTCCACCTCCAGTCTGTTCATGTAGGTCAATACCTCCTTATCTTTGGTATTCAGAAAAGATGACAGCTGAGGATGGTTCTCAAAAGCTTTCCCCCAGAAGCCGGGGATGCTCTCAATAAGGAGGTTCCTGCGCTCTAAATGGTGAAGGCGCAGCTGGCCAAACTTGCGGGAGAGCCTGAGATAGGCCCTGTCGGCCTGTGCATTCATGGTCTCCAGCTTTAGCTGGACCGTCTCCAGGGTATCCATGCTGCCTATCATGGCGAAGGACCCTGACCCAGCATGCTTCTCTGCCACCTTCCTTTCCTCCCCCCCTGGGACAGTGACCCCGCAGCATGGCCCCGCAGAGCCCATCTTTGGCTTCCCACTGACTGTGGCCTGAGGTCTCCTCCCCGCGGCGCTCCGAGCGTCTGGGGCCCTCCTCCCGGGAACTCGCCGATTTCCAACGCGGGTGCGGTGTCGCAGCCTCGCCAAGGCTCCCACGGTTCCAACGAAGCCGGTGTCGGTGGCCAGGCGCTCGGCGAGGGATGCGGCCAATTCCAGGGCTGGGTCAGTGGCCCCCAGCCCGCGCTCGTCCGCAGCCCGAGCCCGCAGCGCCAGGCCGCAGTCCAGCGGGACGCGGCAGGCCGCATCGTCCCCGAGCTCGGCTGGTTCCGAGCCTCCAGAAGCAGCGTCGGCCTGCACCTGCGCGTCCGCGGCGTCCTCCCCGAGCTGCGGGTCCTGGGGAGACTTCGCATCGCGCCAGGCCTCGTCCTCGGCGGCGCGGACCCGGGCTCTGGCCCGGCCTTTGCCCCGGCCTTTGGCGCGGGAAGACCTTCGACCCCTACTCCGGCCGCTCATGGTGCGGGCGGACACCGCTTCAAAGCTCCGTCAGCCCAGGGTCTCTACCGAGCCGGCCTCTCCATGGCAACCGTGACGTCACCACGGCAGGACCCGCTGCTCCCGGTGATTGGCTCCGCTGCAGCGGCTGCGCACCAGCCCACCCCTCACGCGCCGCACCCCCTTAATCTTCTTTTGCTGTTAGAAAGTCAGTTTCCACCTGCAGTTGACCTTGGTTGTCTTGCTGATTCATCTCCTACCATTGATCGCAAGCGTGTCCCCAGGGGCTCATAAGACACAGCCTTACAATGGCATCTTGAAGATAACTACCACCAGTCACCATCATCAGTTTTCTACTCTTCCTCTTCAGTTATCAACATTTCTGTCTCATCACATAATTATTCCACTGTGAGATTTGCCCCAGCAACTTAACTCTAGGGAATGTGTAGGCAGGTGCCATAATGCTGATCTAGAATGATTTAGAAAGAACAAAAAGTAATAGCAGCTAGTATTGTATAATCATACACACAAGGCACTTTGCTGAATACTTTTTTGCATTATCTCTGTTCATGAAGGAGGTATTGTTATTATTCCCAGCTTTTTGATAAAACTGCAGCTGAAGGGCTGGCATGACAATTCAGTGGTAAGACACTTGCATAGTGTGTGGGAAGTTCCGTCCTTAGTGAAGAGGAGGAAGAGGAGGAGGAGGAGGGAGGAAGAGGAGGAGGAGGAGGAGGCGAGGAGGGGAAGGAGACGAAGGAACATTTTGGAGATTCCACAGGTAGAGAGGAGGCCGTGGCTTCCCTGACTGCCTTACCTATGCTATCACGATCTGTTGGCCCTTTGCACGTGACTGTGCTGGCTCCTAAGAAAGGCAGTGAGCAGACCCCAGACTCTTCTGCCCGGGGCCCAAGTTCTCCAGCTGCCTCAGACCTACGTAGAGTTGCACTGTGGATCCCAGTCCAGAGCCAGAAGTAAAGGCCCCAAGTCCAAGCTGCTGTCGTTGGAATAGGACACATGTAAAATGAAAATATCACTCTAGAAGTGTAGAAGGATTTCCGGGTGAGATTCCGAGGCAGAGGGTTTCTAGGAGCAGTGAGGAGGCCCTGGGAACTTTCCACAGCCAGCAGAAAAGCAGCCAATCTGACTGGCATTTCTGGAGGAGTCCCAGATCCTATAGCCAGATTACAGGACCACGAGTAGTGAGGGAACCCATGGCCAGCATGGATGTGTGAAGAGAAACCTGAGTGGATCTTCCAGGTCCAAATGCAGCAAAGCTCTTGCAGCAGTAACAGAGAAGTGAGCCCACAGGCCTCTAGGGGTTCAACCCTTCCTTGCTTTTATCATTCAGTGTCTTTGTGGAGCAGCAGTTGGGCAACATCCGGAAGCTTGCTTCAAGGTGCAGAACAACCAGATCAGAAGCTAAATGTTAACAAGTTCTCAGGTGGCATTTATGCGCATAAAAATTCAAGAGTAGAAGATGTGGTAGGGGGCCATTACTCTGACACAGACAGGCCCTAGTTTAAACCAACTCAATACAGGTAAGTTCTAACTTTCCCAAAGGGCAGGCAGATGCCTGCAAGGCTCCAGCTCCAACACAAGTCTCACCTCTGTCTGTCTGTCTGCTACCCTCTACGATGACTCTGGTTTCACTCTGGTCTCCAGGCTCAAAACCTCTGTGCTGGTCCTTCCTACAACTTTAAAATGCTCCTTACCCCACATGTGGTCTGGGCCCCCTTTCACTTAAATTTCTCACTCTCAATGCCATCATATTTGAAATTCTCAAATCTTTCTATTTCTAATTGTTTGTTTGTTTTCCATAGCACCTATCAACGTCCTACATACTGCCCATAGTTTAGGGTGTTTTATATATAATCTTTAAAGCATATACATTTATTTATTTGGTGTGTGTGTGCGTGTGTGTGCGCGTGTTAGTTTAAGTATAACACAGTGAAGGTGTGGAAGTCAGAGGGTAATTGGAGAGAGCAGGCTCTTTCCTTCCACACTGTTGAGTCTGGGCTTTCCTTCTTGTTTTCGCTGCTCTGTGTACCCCACGCTAGCTGGCCAGAGCTTCTGGGCGTCTCTCCTGTGTCTGCCTCCCAGCCCACCACAGGAGTAGAGAGGTCACAGATGCAGCACAGGCCACTGCACTGTTTGATGTTGTTGTTGGTTGTTTGTTTGTTTGTGTTTATGTGCATTCCAGGGATTGAACTCAGGTGGTGAGGCTTGCAGAGCTGCGTCAGTTCCGAGCCCCACGGTTTATTACCTGTCTCCTCTCCAGAATGTCATCTCGGAGGGTATTCTTTTAAAAATAGCGGGAAGGAGCCACACCATACAACAGGGCCCACATGGGCACTTATTGAGGGGAGGGGAAAGAAGGGGCAGAGAAGGGGACAGAGACCAGTCCCTGGGGATGAGAGCGAAGGAGAGAAAGAGAGCCAGGCAGGGCCTGCCTTTTATAAGGGAACACAGCAAATGCACACAGGGGGTGCTCAGATCCGCTGAGGATGTATCCTGTCAGGACCCTAAGGGCGGCCAGTACAGATGCCTGAATGCTAATACAAGGGTCTTTGTTCACTGTATCTTCAGTTTCTGCATACAAATAGCACTTAATCATTATAGATTGGAAGAATCAAGTAAAGCAGATTTTTTTTTTTTAAAGTTTATAACTGGTGTCTTAAATTCAAAATACTCCCCTTCACAGAAGCGAAGCTATTGGCAAAAGCTATATTCTCAAGTCAACCTGTGGGAACGTATTAAACTCAACATTTGGCCAGAAATTTGTCTTTTGTTATGAAGTACCCCTCAGGGACAACGTGTAAGTGAAAATCTGGAGTGACAGGTGAGAAACGTAAGTTGAAAGGATTTCTATTTGACTAGTGGGGTTTAATTAGTCCAGCGATCATCTTAAATCCTTGTTGAAGGCCTTTCCTATCCACTGCTTCCCCATCTTCTAGTCAGCTCAGACTACAGTAAGCAGTCCTGACCTGAATCTCACCGGGCACTGGCTCACTGTACCTTTTGTTCAGCGCTTAGGCACACACTCTTTTTCCCAGTTCTATCACAGAATTACTTCTTAAACCGGATAATCATGGTCTGGAACTCTGTAAACCTCTAATAAATAAAAAGTAAGCTGAAGCGGCCTGTATCCCTCTACAAATTGGGGCACTTCTCTGAGCACTCGAGGCTTAAGGCATCTCTGATGTCAAAAGTCTTAATCCAGCTACAGTATCTACAGTATATAACTCACCAGAGGCTAAAGCCACTGCAGGATTAACAGTGGCCGGGTCACTGCAAACACAGTTTAGTGTGCAATCTGCCTTGGGCCTTGTCTTGTCCTGTCAAATAGATATGTATCACGTAAGTAGAGACAAGTAAGAGACTAACACTCTTTACAGAAATACTCTTCTGGTCTGGATCACCTGGTCCCTGTAGCTTTTGCATTTAAAAGGCTGGTTTGTGGCGATGAACTGGTTTTCTTCCTGGGTATTAATATCAAAGCTTATATGAATGAAGCTTAACTGTGTAAAGGGGACTGTGTATCATTTTAATTTTATCCCTCGGAGCACCTAGCATGGAGCCTTGCACATACTAGTAATTATGATGAAAGCTCACATTTACTTTACTTTAAACAATGCCACATCTTAACTCATTTAATCCCTGTAGACACCCTAAGGGGCAGAAGCAATTATTGCTCTCATTGGAAGATGAGGTTACTGCAACAAAAAGTGTTTCAGCAGCTTCCCTAAGGTTACAAAGCCAGCAAGTGGTTTTCACAAAGTCATTTCAACTCCAGCATCATGCTCTTCCCTAGTGGCCCATGATGTCAAATTGTAGCTTGAAAGACTAATTGCTCCAGCACCTAATTGTTTTTTTCCTCTCTAGTAAGTATTTTCAAAGTTATATATACATAATTATACAAAGTTATATATGCATACAAAATATTTATTATGCATATGTTAACATCTATACAACATATACAATAATAGGATTTGTCAAAGGGTGTGTTAACATATTTGACCTTGCAGTACTCAACATGAATAAGTTTAGTTTCGACAGCCAGTGGTGGGAATACAGCCCTTCAGTTTCTGCTCTGCTTGTCCTAAGCATTCTGTGACTATTATTAGATAAACATAAGCTTATCTTGTACTCAAGGGATCTAAGGATGTTGTAACTTCTTCCTAATATGTAAGGACTTAGTCCATAATAATGTGAGTATGCGATTCTTTTTATTGTGGCATTTTATTCTTGGCAAACTTAAAAATAAGTCAAATTGTTATAGTTAGGCTTTGCTTTTGTTTGAAAGTCTGGTTCCTTCTGTTTCTTTTAAGGTCAGTTTTCCTCAAATCATAGAAACTAATGAACTTGGAAAAGGACATCCCAGCTACCCAGTCTGTTCCCCAGCCAAGGGAACAACATTTCCCACAGTCTCTCTAGCAGGGTCTCAGGATCCCAGACTTGACATTTTCAGCAATGGAACTTTTCTTTTCTTCCCCAAGGAAACACTTCAAGCCCCATTAGATGGCAGTGAGTACTGCATGCTGTGTGGAATTTTGCCAACTAACCCCCATCTTCAGCTTCTAGAAGGGCATGGAAAAGAAAGCAGTGTCAAGGGAATATTTTCAAAGCCAATGAAAGAAGGAGAGAAAAGCTTAACCTCTTATGGTAAATGTCCAGACTATCTGAACTTAACATCTTGAAAAATGTGCTTAGCATCTTCAGAGGCCCCAAAGCTACAATTCCACAGTAGACCACCTAAGTCATCTCAGTTCATTCATATAAGCAGCCATAGAATATTTTAAAGTATTTCCACATGTGTTTTTCTTTCTTGGAATTCCTTTTTATTCTGAAATACCAACACTGCTTAAAAAAGATCTCTAGGCTAGAAAAAGGAAAATACTTAAGAATCCAGAAAAAGATTTTTAAATTAAATTTATCACTTTTAATTCCAAAATGTATCCTGAGAAGCAAAGGCATAATAGCATTGAAACATATAAACACACATATACATATATATATGCATACACAAATATATGTATATTTATATGTATACATACATATTATTATGTATGTGTGTATATTTATATGTTTCAATTCTATTATGCCAAAAATAATACATGTGTGTGGAGGGGGTGCTGCCTAGTTTTATGTCAACTTGATACAAGTTAGAGTCATTTGAAAGGAGGGAACCTCAGTTGAGAAAATGCTTCCATAAGATCAAGCTGCAGGGCGTTTTCTTAAATAGAGCTAGATAGAGGGAGAGACCAGACCATTGTGGGTGGTGCCATCCCTGGGCTGGTGGTCCTAGGTTTTATAGGAAGCAGGTTGACTGCTCTTGAGACCCTTTTCCTCCTACTGGGTTGCCTCGTCCAGCCTTGACATGAGGGTTTATGCCTATGCTTATTGCATCTAGTTATGCCGTGTTCAGTTTATATCCTGGGAGGCCTACTCCTTTCTGAAGACAAACAGATGAGCAGTGGATCTGGAGGAGAGGGGAGGCAGTGTTGTGAGGGGTGGAGGGAGAGGAGGCTGTGGAAGATGTATTGTATGAAAGAAGAATACATAAAAAGAAAAAAGCAGGCTAAGCAAGCCATGGGGAGCAAGCCAGTAAGCAGCACCCCTCCATGACCTCTGCATCAGCTCCTGCCTCCATGTTGGAGCCCTGCTTGAATTCCTGTCCTGAATTCCTTCAGTGATGGACTAAAATGTCAAATAAACCTTTTCTTCCCCAACTTGCTTTTGGTCATGGTGTTTCATTACAGCAGTAGTAACCTTTAACTGGGACAATATGTATATGTGTATATATGGTAAATCATAAATCATCCTCCTGAGCAGCAAACACATAGAATTTGTAAGATAAACCATAGAAGAAAAGTATGTTGTGGAGTACTGGCCATTTCTCCACCACACAAAGAGAACAAACCTTTATCCGATGTGTGATTAAAGAGCTTGGAGGAGATCCAGAGGCTGAAGAACTAGAATAGAATCTTGAGAAAGGAATTCACACAATGGCCCTCCAGAGGTCCAAACCTTTGAGGAGTTGACAAAGACTCCCCATTTCTTCAGAAAGGTAGAGATATGAGATTAAGGAGAAATCACTCTCAACAAGTGGAGCTCAGACAAATTCTACCTGAGAGCTTCCTATCAATAAAGGACAGCCAAAGACAGGTGATAAGACACATGAGGTAAATCAATAAAGAATATTCTGAAATGGCCTGACTCACAAAAGGAAGCAGAAGAGCAGCCATGCATTCCTTAAATAAAAAAGTCACAAAGGTTGGCTATGATAGTCTAACTTGGTCTTGCAATCTAGCCACAGATGGCTGGGAATAAAGGATGATAAAGAACTCTCTGGGGGGCATGTCTCATAACTGTACACTTGGGAGTAGAAGCCAATTTCAAAGACCAGCAGCTCCAGATAAACCCAGCAGAGACCAGCAAAGACAGGGGACACAGAGCAATTACACTTTCATTAGTGATGATGGATAATTCTTAGTCCCTGGGTGATACAGAGAAATAAAACAGAGACTATCCCAAATGATTAAGTGGGTTATATCTATCTGAGTCACTTGAATCACCAACTTAAGTTCAACAACATTGTATAAATCTTGAAATTATGAAAATACTTGCTGACTACAATGTTATCATCTAGACCATGCCCAGTATCTAATTTATTCATAATTTTACAATAGCAGAAAAATATTCAAAGAAGGTCTTAAAGAGATGGTTTAGTGACTGGGAGTTGGGGGGGGGTCTCAAGAGCGTGCACATGTGCATGTGAGTGCACATTGAACTTCCTGTCTGCCTGGAGACAAATCTTGCCTAGGATATAGTCTGAATTCAGATGTGTCGGCACAGAGGCCCCATTTATTGAGCGAAATTTATTTATTTATTGGTATTAGGGATTATCCCCAGGCCTTGTGCATGCTAGCTAAGCACTCTGCTACTGATTGGTATCCTTTGTCCTTTTATCTTTACTTTATATCTGGAAATAAGGAGCCTCACTAAGTTGCCCAAAATAGACTTGAACTTGTTCTGTCATCCAGGCAGGTCTTGAACTTGTGATCCAGCATCATCCTTCAGAACAACTGGGATTAAGGGCTGAACTATCAGGCCCAGCAAGGTTATTGCTTTTAGTGAATGATTTTCTAATTTATCATGTACTTGAATTCTTCCCAAGTTAAGTTATCTAGGCAAGATTTGTCTCCAGGCAAAAATAAAGTTGTTCTTAGTCAACAATGCTCTGTGTTGTCTGTGGCAAAAGCAGTGGGACGTGGTTCTTTTTCTTCCTTAACATCTCCTTTCATGCTGCTCAGAAGTGTTTGCTGGGATCATAGTACTAAATATTATGTCTTTATTACTCTATGCACCCATGTGGTGGCTTGAATGAGAAGAGGCCCCATAGGCTCATATATGAATGATTGGTCCCCAGTTGATGTGACTGTTAGGAGCTGTGACCTTGCTGGAGATCTGTCATTTGGAGTGAGTTTTGAGCTTTGAGGTCTCACAAGCCCAGTCCAGTTTTTCTCTCTCTGTCTCTGTCTGTCTGTCTGTCAGTTTTTCTCTCTGTGTCTGTGTCTGTCTGTCTGTCTGTCTGTCTGTCTCTCTCTCTCTCTCTCTCTCATCCAGATCAGGATGTAAGCTTTTTGCTGCTCCTCCAGCACCATGTCTGAATGCCTTCTGCCACATCCTATCATGATGATTAT